GCGGGTTACCCGCGGACAGTTGAGGTGAAACAGCGTGACACTATCTGTAAAAAGCACCCGGGCGCGGTGTGAAACTGTCCACCTGGCATTTTCCGTCTGGTGGGAGGCGGGGGCGAACGAAAGGGAGGGTCATGAGAGTAAATAGAGGCACGAACACGAACTCACGGTGGCTGGCTCGGACGAGGGAGCGGTGCCACCCAAACATCACCGCATCACAACAGTTCAGGATGACAGAAGCAGGTTACGAGCTGGTATTGTTAGCACCCATTGCAATATTAATGATACCTAGGACGCGGAAGAAGAGGATGCAGAAGCATCAGGATGAGGATGCTAAGGCTGAGGATGAGGGGGGATGGGAAGACAGCGAGGGCTGAGACCCAACACCATCCAACAAAATGATTCATGATACTGGAAAACACCCCCGCACAATGAAATGCGCCATTTGTAAGAGACCAATTGTATGCCGATAAAAAAGGATGACGATCATTCAAAACAGCAGGAAGGACAGAATGCGGGGGGGTATTAATGCGGAGGGGTATTTCACAACGGGAGGAAACGGAGGATAACCAGAATCTGATCACGAAGATGACGCGAAAGACAAGAAGCAGGAGTTGCAGACATATAGCCATGACGAGGGCATCATGGTCCCTCAAGAAAACAAGGCGACGGACAACAAAAAGTACCAAGGGGGGGAGTGTCGACAGACGGGCGAGAGAGGTGATGGAATGAAGGAGAGATGAATGGAATCAGCGTGTAGTGGCAAGGAGGAGGCCGTGGATGGAGCCAGGGAGGGAAGCGTGTTTCATGAGCGTCCCTCGTGGAAATGCAGTTTCGTCCTTTTGCGAAGGTCCCAGTCACGACGTCCATTTTTCCAGTTGGCGGCGAGGCGGGACCATCCGCCGCGGGGGGGCAGCGATGCAGGGACACTACAACGCGAATTGGCCGGCATGCAGGAGGAGGGGAAAGGAAAAGGCGGCCACGGGGGGGGTGGGGGAAGGGCGAGCACTCAGAGGCGGAAGACTTCCGCCATGAGCAACCGGAGCGGCCCGTGGGCGGCGGGGGTGGCGTCCAGGGGCTGGAGCGTCAGCCGGGCAGTCCGCAACAGCAAGCGCGATGCGCCGAGCAAGGGGAAACAGTATGACGTCCATACAGGCCCGCCGATATGGCAGCCCTGCAGAATGCCTGCGTCCATGCAACGCGACGGGAATGCCTTCTGGAAATACCGGTAATCCCAGATAGACCGGCGCTGAAGTGCCGTGTCATCCAATTGGACGGTTTCCACTGGGGCCAGTTTCCCCTGGGGCCGTAGGCGACCCGAGGAGGGGAGGACGAGGAGGGGGAGGACGAGGAGGAGGAGGAGGAGGCGGAGGAGGGGAGAAGGAGGAGGAAGAGGAGGAGGAGGAGGAGGAAGGGAGGAGGAGGAGGAAGAAAAGGAGGAGGAGGCGGAGGAGGAGGAGGAGTGGGAGGAGGAGGAAGAGCAGGAGGAGGAGGAGAAGGAGGAGGAGGAGGAGGAAAGAGGAGGAGGAGGACGGGTCGCCTAAGCCCGTAGGAGAAACGCTCTACATCCAGTCGCTCCGTCCGCGAGACAGCGCCGAGACCAGCAATGTGGTTGATGAGCTTGCGCCTGGCGGTGCAGCCCTCTCGTGGTGCCGCTGTGGATGCCGCAGCACGATGCTTGCGCGCCGCGCTCATGCTGCCTGCGGTTACCTCAGGTCGGGCATGTCCCCCTACAGGCTGCTTTTGGATGAAGCATCAAACATAGTCGAAACACATACACCATTCTAGTCACACAAATGCAAGGAAAAATCGTACCCAGATGATTGTTGGGCTGTTTTTGAATGCTCCCCCTGTAGAGGGGCACGCCCGACTTACGATTACCTTGGCGTCTGTGTTTTGGAATGGCACCGTCCGCAGTTGGTCTGCGGCGGGCGCGCATGCCTCCAATGGGTCTGCTTCGTCGGTGCTCTGGCTGGACCGCCGCGAAGCAGGCGGTGCTGGAGCTGCCGGGGCCCTCTGAGCCTCGTGAGGGGCGCCCTGAGTGGCCTCTGGTGCGCGGACCCTGGGGGCCGAGGAGGGACCGAACACAAGCGCGCAAGACGCTACTGCTGCATCGCGTCCAGCGATCTGCTTTTCGCGCCTTGCCCATCTTCTTGGTGCGTGGTTCGGCTGGAGCTTGGCGCTGTAAGGGCGACTTCTCCCTCCCGTCCGCCGCCGGTGCCGCGCCTACGTCCCCATCCGCTGGGATGATTGCGCCGGTCAACCCCCAATGAGGGTCACTTTGTCCCTGGCATGTGCACTCGCCTCAGCGGCCTACGTGCCTCTGCGGCCAATGATCTCGCTCTGTGCCCCAGCCGTGAAGCCCGCTCTCCGGACGTCTCCTTGGAGCCGCGAATCGGGGATGGACAGACCTCCCTTTAGTAAAACGTGGTTTAGTGAGAACGACCTGAGGCCCAAACCTGGCGGGCGCAAGCCTAGAAAATAATGGCCGCGGCGAACTCTCGAGAACCGAAAACGGACAATTCACTAATCGACGTGTTACTATTGGGGGTTCTGTCCGCCCCCGAGCGAACCAAAACAGTCCAGCGATCTGCAGCAAAGTGCGCCGCGGCACCTGCTCGCCGGATCGCCCGCGGCCTCTCCGCGGCGGCGGTGGTCGCCGCCGTGGGCGGCGGGGGGGGGGGGGGGGAGGAGGAGGGGGAGGAGGAGGAGGAGGAGGAGGAGGAGGAGGAGGAGGAGGAGGAGGAGGAGGAGGAGGAGGAGGAGGATACGACACTGACTGGCCACCGTCGCGCGGAGCACCGACGGCCACAGCAGAATGGGGCGAGCCCAAAAGGCTCCCCCCGAGCTCGAAAAGGAACGAGGCTCAACCCACCTGAGGATCACGGTTGAGCACTCCCGAGCCAGCAGGCCTGGCGGGGGCGGCGACGGGAGCAGCGCGGCGGGCGGCGCGCGGGGGCGCGCCTGCTGTGGAGGTTGATGAGCAGGAGCCGCCACGCGAGGGTCGCGGGGCGGCACGCGCGCACCGTCGCTCCGACCATCCGCCCCGCCAGGCCAAACAAAAATCATGCGAATTGGCCGACCAGGGGTTTCCCAGGGGCCGAAGCAGCAGGAGGCCCCCCAGAAAGAAAGCCCAAGGAGCCCCGAAACCAGAAACCAGAACGGGCTCAACACAGGGAGCTCATCCAAGCCTTAGCCAGGTGACCTCGGGGTCGCTGGCAAACAGTGGACGAGGAACAGGGATTCGACGACTACTAGCAGCGCCTTCATCGGCGGGGTGAAGCCCTTCCAAAAAGAGCTTCCTGTTTCGCGCAGCCCTCTCAGACAACACTTGAGGGACCGTGCAGTCCAGGAGCAGGTGGCCAGCAACGCCAGTAGTGTAAAAGCCACACTTGATGCAAAGAACAACCTGACCAGGGCTGACCCAACATCGGTGGCCACGCGCACACAAATGCCCAACAATACCTGACGCGGGCAGCGGACGCGCGGGGACGGTCGACTCGGCCAACGCGGGCCTACCCATCTTCCGCCGTTTTGAATTAGGCTCCAAGATCTGCCTCTGAGCCAAAGCCAGCTCATCAGCATCGGGAGCCAAAACACGCTGAATTGGGGCGAAGATGACACGCGGCCTCACCTCCCTACCATCAGACGAGCCTGGGCGATCCAGGAGGCCCCCCATTCTCTTAGTAGGGGCATCCTGAGAGACACTGGCAGAGCCCGAAAGATCCTGGGAGGGGTCCGCCCTGGCCTGGTCGCCAGCGACAAACCCCTGCACTCGCGGGGGCCCCCTCGGGCTCATGTCGAAAGACCTCGACGCCAGGGCACGGGCAAAACAAGTTACACGAGATAAACGATCCCTCGAACTCTTGACCTCGGCACCTTTCATGCAGAAATTGCACCTCCATATGAGGCGATGCGGCGCTTGCGAGAAGACGTGAGCCAGGTGAGAGGGAGGAGGGGTTGGGGCAATATCACTCTTGGCCTGCCTGGCCTGAGTGGGCTTCTTGCCCCGTCGCGGCACAGTTGTGACACGTCCGTGAGCAGCAAAGGCCAGCAACGCTTCAACCTGCCATTTCAAAACTGACCGAACCGACTTCAGAGCAATCCGCATGGCCTCGGCATGCCCCCGGGGAACCGAGTGCAAATCCCGCCCCCTGGTCGCCCCAAAGTCGGCCCATCGGTTCCCCCGCGCCAAGACATCCATGCCTCGCTGGTGCCCTCGCGCGTGACGAACTTCCAAACTATCCGAAAGGCCTCCTAAATCGTCGATTTTGGTCCAAATTAGATCCCAAAGATCAACATTAGGCCGGGGCGGATGTCTACACCAATCAGGCCCCCAAGTGAGGCCTTCAATCAAGCCCTTAAAATCTGAATATACTAGTGTAGGCAAAACCGCTATCTGCAAAACTTGCAAGAGGGCATGCAGCTCAGACCGCGGAGAGGACTGCACAGGCCCAGGGAGAGCACCATATACTAGAAGATCAATCTTACCATCATCCAGCTTAGCGAACCCCCATCCAGCTCGAGACGCTTCGGGCCAGTACCAGAACGTCTTACAGGCCCCATCTGTAAATATGACACCGCTAACAATATCTGCTGTACCGTATTTGACAATCCACTTGCCTGAATTATCCTTTGGCGGCACTGGGGGAAAACAGCTGCGAGGGCATAATCCGCGATCCCAAAACCATGACCCAACAAACTTGGGTGGAAGCCCTCTGTCATCTAAATCCGAGAGGTGACGTATGCTTTCACCGCTACTGCCAGCACAATCCCACAAGATATGATGGGTAGTGCAAGCCGTGGACGGGCACGCCATACAGTCAGCGCGATCAACATATCCACAAGCGTGAAGCCGAGACGGGGACCACATGCCACCACCTACGAAGGCGCGCAGCATCGCCGCCTCGTTAGACGAAGGGGCCCAAGGAGTCCTGCTAGAGTCCTGTGGCTCGTCGTCGTCGGAGTCCGCGCCTTCGCCCTCGGATGAGTCGTCGAATTCGTCCCCCTTGTACCTTCTCAACAGGTCAGCGATGGGTTCGATCCAGTACCCGAGGGGCCCCTTGGGGGCCATGCCAACGTCGTCAGCGGGGTTCCCTCGAGTTGCCCAGGACTCCCAAAGCCTCCTGAGCGAAGCAACCTGACCTAAGTCACGAACCGTGGACGGCGCAGAAGTCCTGAGGCCCAGGATGTCCCCGATGTCGGTCTTCCAGACAAAAGCTGAACTGGAGGTCCATTTCAAGGCCTTTAAGGATGAAAACATAGCCCCAGCAGGACCCGAAACATGTTTCCAGGGATGCGTGGCCAAGTAAACCTTCTGGATCTGCGCCTTCCAGGCCATCTGGAGCTCCCCGCGAGTCACCACGACGTCCCGACAGAGCATGGCCCACTGTACAAGAGGGGCCGTCCACGCCTGGACCTGTGGGTCGGACAGCACGGCGCCTTGAAGGCAACTCGTCAACCAGGCCGAAGTGGTCGACCCAGGTGAATACCAACACGAACGAAGCACAGAGCGCATCTTGGCAACCAACTGTGGCGGCGCCCCATGTACTCCTAGTCCATATCCCATAGCACTGGGTAATGCCTGTCGGACAAACTTGCAGACGATGGGGCCCGCTTTCCGAACTTTGGAGAGCCGTGGAACTCGTTTCGAAGCGACCGAGACCCGTTCACGAAGTCGACGGTATCGAAGGGGCCTCCCTGAGGCCGCCTCAACCAATAACCCCCAAGGCACTCCGATAGGCATAACCAAATTTGTGCAGCCGTGCCGCCACCCGCCGAGCCACTTCAGGTATACTAGACGAAATACTCATCTTGTTCCTGGCTGGTGGTAAGCCCAACTGCGTGAGCAAGCGTGCCAGTATACGCAAGACTCTGCTAGTCGATGTAATTATACTGCGCAAAGAACATATAATGGATACCGTGATGTCGTCAGCGTACACATGCAACGAGCGCGAAATGTGCGATGCGTGTGCGTACAACGAGTCGAACGGCGTGAGCATGATGCACTGCAAGCAAACAGTGGCGAAGGCACATCCTGGCAGCACGCCGTGTCGCGCAGGAACCTGCGTCGAAAAACAGCCATCCCAGGAAAGCCTCCTAACACTCATGTACATCCTGATGGTCAGAACCATGAGTTGTCCAGGAAAACCATGTGCTCGTCCCGCAGCTATCAGGAGTGCCCGGGAAATTCTGTCGAAGCATTTCTCGATGTCCACAATGCTGTGAACACTGACTCGGGTGTCCCCAGCGAGCGAGCCTCCAGCCTCACTCTGAACCAAGATACGGGCGGCCACATCTGTAGTCGACTTCTGAGCTCCAAGGGCTATCCAGGGTCGATTCAATTGGCAGGCCCACTTTCTCACAAAATCCACCCGTGCTTTTGCCCATGCCCGATATATAGAGGTGAGTAGGGCAATGGGGCGATGCCCGCCTGAAGGTTTGGACAATAAAACGATGTGCACCCTCGATGACAGCTGTGGCCACAAGCCCCAAGTCTCACAAAGGAACAACATGTATCCAAGCACGGAAAGGGCGCCATTCGACGCCGGAGCCCAGTGTCTGGGCCTCCACAAATCTGGTCCAACAGCCGTGCGTCGCGGAAATCGCTCAGCTGCCTGTCGCAATTCTGCTATAGTAAGAGGGGGAAGGCGTGGGCCCGCTTCCAGTAGACCTATGAGCTCCCCAAGACACTCACCAGGTTCTTCTTGAAACATACTGGCGCCTGCATATTCGACTGGCTCAGGGTCCCCGTCCCATATGGTTTCCCAGGAATCCCGTTGAGCTTCAGCAATGTCCCCAGGGAAACTCGAGAGGCCCTCGGAGGTCCTGACCCGTGCAACCTTCCAGCCTTTTGGTTTAGTCCACTTGTGAACGGGCCCAAGGGTACTCGTGAGATGACGCCTCATCCAACTCACAAACGACTTGGAGCGCGCTTGGGCAAGCCGGCGCTCTTCAGCTTCGGCCAAACGAAAAAGGAAGCTGCAGACAAAGTCGAGCATGAGCCCGTGATACTCCACAGGCTGCGCACATGCTTGCTCGATAATGAATGCAACGTCAGCTAGTGCATGATGTGGTATGTGCCGACGTATACGCCCATCACGACCACGACCACGCACGAAATCAGATAAGTGCTGCCACGCTGGAACACGACGTTCATATATATCGCGCTGTGCTATAAGTACGTCCGATACTTTCAGATGTAACAGCCGAAGTGCACGTGAATATGCTGTGCCTGCAGGTTGGTAACGAGCAAGCGCGCCTCCCGCCGTGGCATGCCGATACTCGAGGCCGCTAGACCTCCCAAAAAAACGACTCGGGTCTTCAACCTGAAAGAGCGGCAGCAATTCCTTTTCGACACCACTGAAGACCTGCTGACAGAGCAAATCGACCCGTTCCTGATGATTTGAGGGGCCCCCGAAACCATCTTGAGCATCCTGTCTCATAACGTCCGTCCAGGAGTGTCCAGGGTCCCCGCGTTCAACCTCGAAGATGAGTTCGCCATCCTCATCCTCATCTTGGTGCTCGACAGGTTTCGCCTGGGGCCCCAATGGCAAAATGGCTGGCCCCTTGATGGAGTAAACCTGCTGCGCACGAGGCCGAGGGCCAACCTCAGCCTGCAAAGGAGAATGATTGCGAGCAGGGAAACCTCCAGTGATGCGAACCTTGGTCATGACAGCAGCCAAGCCCTCAGAGACGAGGAAGTAATCTAAGTTGGACAAGTTGCCCGTCTTGGGGTCACGATGCGCGCCCTCTGCGCTGCCGACGAAGCTGCCAACAAGCCGTTCATGATATCGCACAGCTGATGCTTGACTAAGAGGCATGTTCCAGTCACCGCCGACGATGTAAGGCGCAGCATAAAATCTCAGGCACTGCCCCAATCTTTTAAGATGCCGAGCGCTGTCACCACCGAACTTCTGACCTTGAACAAGATATATAGATGCAGCAATAAATCAATGCCGTGGTCCTGCGTGCACCCATATGGCCACCGCTCGCGATGGAACAAGAACATGATCGTCTAGGAAGGCGTCGAGGAGCGTAGCACCGACGTGCGACCGAACAAAGGTACCCACACCAGCCGAGAACTTACCTCCCGCCACTGATCTAGCATCTGTCAGAAATGGCCGCCAGCCTCGTTTGATACTCCATTCCTCAGCTTGCATTCTGGCGTTACCTGCCAAGTGGTGCTCCTGAACGAACACCAGGGAGTGTGAGCGACATTGATCAAGATAGTCCTGCAGTTGAGGCCATCCACTGCCATTGAACGTGGCCACGGTGAAGGGCTTACGCTTGCCATGCTTACGAGCCCGCCGCCCTCGTCTGCCACTATCCGCGCCCTGCAAATCTAGCGACGACTGAACCTGCCGCTGCGGAGAGCGCACAGGATTTATTTCGGCCTTCGCCCGCAAAACTTGCGACGACTGAACCTGCCGCACCCTAGGGCGCACAGGATTTGTTGCCGCTGAGGCCCTCGATGCACGCGGTAGCCTCTCGCCGCCCACAGCACCATGGACCGAAGAAATGTGAAAGGGAGAAGGGGATGTAGCAGCCACCCTCGAAGATGTATGATCATCCCGACCTGCAGCGCCACGAGTAACCGCCATGAGGTCCGCAAGGTTCAAATCATCCAAGGAGCGGACTCGACCCTGAAACTCTCTCGGCATATCGATGTATGATAGTAAGTCAAGTCCCTGGCGTAGCTGGGGCTGCTCCGATGGAAGGGTCTTCCCACTGCATACCACCAGCATGAGTGCCAACTTGATCTGGGCCAGGAACATGTACGGGTACCTGCGGCTGCGGGGGAGGTGATGCTTGCAACGACTGCATCTGCTGCCATGCCCCCTGCAACTGGTTAAAGTGCGTGACGAGAGACTCCAAAGCCGCCTGAGGGTTTCCTGCTGCCAGCGCCGAAGGGGCCCCCATGACCACCTGCTGCAATCTGCCCATGGCGTCTGAAGATGTCGTCCCATCAGGAGCTGGTCGAGCTGCACCCATGACTGCAGCACGCGCCGTGGCCACCTCCAGCTTGATGCTGTCGAGCTCCTCGCTGGCCACACGGTGCTCTTCAACCTTGGCGTCGTACTGCGCCTTGAGTGTGTCCATGCTTTCGTTGAGCTGCTCAACTTCGCGTCCCTTAGCGCTTTGACGATCCAAGGCGCTGCGCAACATATCATCTGGCGTGCGCCGTGCACGCTCGGCGGCCTCTGCCGTAGTGAGGGCAACACGAGCGCGCACAACAAGATCATGTTCATCAGGTAGGCCACAGCGCCGTAAGGAGGCCAATGCCTTACGTGCCTGCCCAACTTCATCAGAGTCCTTGGCGTCGCCTTCGTCAACCTTACGTCGCCTCGGAGTGGAAGGTGCTCTATCTCGTGAACCTCGTTCTGGCGGCCCTTTCGGGTCGGGCTGCCCATTCTGGTCCCGTCCACACATGTAGCACCTCTTGTTATATTCAAAATTGCGAGTGAAACCGCACTGCCGAATAGCCTTACAACTCCAACGTGGCTCCTTCGCATTGTCACGATCTGCAGCTTTGGGTAGCTTCCCCATGTACTGAGCAGACCCGTGGTGTAAAGAGAGCAGCCTCCGCGCCGCGTCGAGTCTCACAACCCCACGTGCCCAGCTTCGCTTGCGCCGAAGTCGTCGATGCCAGGACGGGGATGAGGTCCTCTTTGGTGCCGTGCCGCAATCCTCCGTGACGCACAGGCCGCCGAAGGTGTAGTTGAGTAGCGCCAGACACCAGCCAAGGCCACAGTGACCTTTGGTTCTGACGATTCGGTAGCGTCAGACACCAGCCAAGGCCGAAGGGCCTCTGGTTCTGACGATTCAGAAGATCGCTCCCGCCCGAGGCCGCGGGCAGGGGAGCTGGGCGCGGGCGGCAAAACGCGCTGGGGGGAAATGCCTCCCCCAGCTCAAGCCCACGCCTGGGAGGAGAAGGAGGAAGAGGAGGAGGAGGAGGAGGAGGAGGAGGGGGAGGAGGAGGAGGAGGAGGAGGAGGGAGGAGGGAGGGGAGGGAGGGGAGGGAGGGAGGGAGGGAGGGAGGGAGGGAGGGGGAGGAGGAGGGAGGAGGAGGAGGAGGAGGAGGAGGAGCAGGAGCAGGGGCAGGCCGTAGGCACCTCGTCGGCGGGGGCGGAGGCCAGCCTCCGGAGCTTGCAGACTCGCGCAGGCCCCGTGGGGCACATCAGCCATGCCGTCGGACGGGGCGGGGAGAGGCTGAGGGGCAGGAGGGGCAGGAGAAGGAGGAGGAGGAGCGAGGAGGAGCGAGGAGGAGGAGGAGCGAGGAGGAGGAGGAGGAGGAGGAGGAGGAGGAGGAGGAGGAGGAGGAGGAGGAGGAGGAGGAGGAGGAGGAGGAGGGGGAGGGGGAGGCACAGCAGCCATGCCTCAGGAAAGACATGAGTACCACTGGCAACAGCTAGAGGGGTGGCCGCTCCCTCCCCTCGAGCTGGTGGCACCTCCTGGGAACTCTCTCGGGGCATGCCCGGAACAAGGTGCCACGAGCTCGAGAGGATGGGACAGCCACCCAACTAACTGGTGGCGGGTGAATACCGTCGGATCTGGGCCAGAAGAACATCCTCCAAGAACATGAGGCCCTCCGTCGGCCAAAACACATAGAGCATCCAAGTGTCCCCTCCCAAGGATGCACAAGCACAGCCAACGAGCACGAAGAAGACTAGGGCATCCTCCCCGAACCGACCTCGATCTTGTACCTCGGTCCGACTGTACCGCGGAGCAAAAGACCTGCGCGCGGACCTGAGAGCAGATGGAAAAGTGACGGAACCTGCAGCGGGGGGGGGGGCGGAGCGACCGACCGAACGCGCGCGCGGAGGAGGAGAAAGTCCCAATGCCTGCTGCCAGCGCCGACGACTGGCAGCAATGAAAACCTGCACGGCTCACCGCGGGCGCACCGCGGAGCGAACAAGGGGCACGGAAGCAGGCCAGCCCTTGGTCGCGCCGGCGCAGCGCTCGCTATGGGCTGCGGCGGAGAAGGCCGCGGGCGGGCGCTCCGCAGGGGCTCCACCCGAACGCGCGGTGCTGCTGGAGCCGCCCCCTCCTCCCCCCCATTGGGGACTCCATTTGCGGGCCGTGCCAAGTGCACCACACTCCCCGTGCGTGTGTCGTCATCGTGTGTTTCGTTTTTGCTCGAAGACCGGGGAGGCTCCTCGAGGGTCCTCGCCGCAAAGGATGCACACGTCCGAGTGATGCCAAACCAATTGCGGGCCGTGCCAGAGGCACCAATCCGAGGCGTCTGCGGGGATGGACTGCTCGTCGAGTTCGGATGGCGGCGCCGATTCACGTGAGCGCGACAAAGCTCCGACTCGATCACGGCGGGGGCCTCGCACGTGTCGCCCACGAACAGACGTGCGACTAGTTGGGCCCGGTTGCTGACCCTGCCGAGAGCCTCCTGCGACTGGACGTAGCCGTGGTCGGGGGCGGGCCCGCTAGAGGATGCGAGCCGGGCGTCGGATTTGGATCTCCAGCCGGATCTGTTTGGGACTATTGTCCTGGTTGATGTGCGTACGTGTGGGGGGCTTCCGTGCATGGACGCGGCACCGTGCTGCATCCAGGCACCTCCTGGGAGTCGGAGCGCGCGTGTGAAGTGCAGTGTCGCGAGGGCTAGGAGGAGGATGGGAATGAGGGGTAGGACAAGAAAGAATCAAGTCAGCTAAGTCGACCGACCTAGAGGGCACCAGCTATTCCCACCCTCCCTCGCACAACATGAGAATCGATTGTTGCACAACTTGGAATTCGGATTGGCACGCGCTCCCACCTCGCAAACGGAGGTCGCTCGCCCGCGGCCCGCGTCCGACGACTTGGCGGAGGGAAAGCGCCGCGGGCCGCGCAGGGGCGGGAACGGCGAGGACGAAGCATGAGCCGTGCTTGCACAGCCGTGCCACTTTCACTCACAAGCTGCGCGGCGCTTGGGCGAGGTCAGCTTTTCGCCCGCTCTCGCGTGGCCCTGCTGCCGCTGTCGCCCTCGGGCGATCCGGCCAAAGAGCCATGCGCCGCGCCCGCGCGAGTCTCGCACGGAGCTCGAGCGAGGGTTACAAGTCGGCTCAGGTCGGGCATGTCCACCTACAGGCGGATTTAGGGCGACAGATGTAAACACAAATGTCAGAACATGTTCAAACGAATCAAAGACTAGATTCGACGAATCGTCCCCAGACTATGTTTTGACTATTTTTGAATGTGTCCACCAATAAAAGGACGCGCCTGACTTACAAGTCGCCCACCCGCGCGGCCCCCCCCCAAAAAAAGCGAGGAGTGAAAAACTCGCACCGCGCCAGGGCAAGAGCGCCATTTCCGGGCGAATTCTGCGCGGCGCCGAGGCGGGAGCGACACGTCCGCGTCGCGAAAGCGACATTCCGGCCCGTCGCGTGGGACGTGCGCCCAGTCGCATTCCTGAAAACACTGTGCAGCATGGACGAAATATGGTCCACGTTGGTGCAGAGGTCGGCGTCTTTGTATTGCCTCTTCCACACGCAGGATGGGAGGTAGCGGATGGTGTGTGGGGGGGCTATCTGCTGGCGCTGGGGCAGCGTAGGGATGTATACGGATTGAAAATACGAATCCTGGGCGAAGAAGAAATGGGCGGCGAGCGGGGGGAAAACGAAAAGGATAAAGCCTCCACGGAAGGCAGCGGGACTCCTCAGAACCTCCTCGCGCCTCCCGCGAAGTCTGCTCCGTGTTCGGGGAAGGCTTGGACAGCTTCTCGAAAGGCTGGGGGACTTCCAGCCTTTTGAGGAGGCCCGCCCCCTCAGCTGACGGCTTTGGGGGTAATAACTCGGGCAACCGGCGACAGTTCGGGACGATCCGGGCACCCCGGGAACGCCCTCGACGAGGCGCCGCTGCCGGAGCGCATCCCCCGAGGCGGGCAAACCCCCGAAAACCGACGAGGACGCCCGAACACCTCGGACCTCGAAGCCGAAACTCAGGAGGAGGAGGAGGAGGAGGAGGCGGAGGAGGAGGAGGAGGTGGACGCCCGAAAACCTCGGACGCTTCGCCCCCAGGCTGGCCGCTGAAAGAAAGAACCTGAGTTGAGCAGGGACCGACCGTCCTGGCAGTCCTATAAGCCTGCCGCGGCAACTCCTTCGAGCCCCAAAATGTTCTAAGAACCCTAACGCTGTTCTTAGCAAATATTGGCCACGAGCGAAGGGGGGAAATGAGAAGGAGAAGGCTTCCCAGAAGGCGGCGGGACTTCTCAGAAGCCCTCGCGCACTGTGAGAAGCTCTTCGTGTCTCCCGGGACGGCATTGAAAACTTCTCAGAAGGCCGGGGGACTTCCGAGCCTTCTGAGAAGGCCCGCCCCTTCTCATTTCCCCCCTCGCCCGCTGCCGAAAATAAGCCCGATGTGTGAAAACAAGACTTGAGCAGGGACCGACCGTCCCGGCATTCCTATAATCGTACCTAAAAATGTTCTTCGAACCCAAGAATGTTCCAATAACAAAAACCATGTTCTTAGAACAGATTCCCGATTAGTAAAAACAGGACAGACTCCGCCAGAAATGTTCTGAGAACATTTCCTGGACACCACAAAGGAACATTGTTCGGTGGAGCTATAGGCGAGCCAGGACGCTCCGCCGCTGCTTGAAAGACATCCCAGCCAGGAATGTACTAAGAACATGTTTGGGCGCCCTTGTTATCCGGGGTAACTCGGGCCTGGGGTAACTCGGGCTTGGATTCCCGAAGAACGAACCCGAGTTAGCCCTGACCCGAAGTATCCCTGATGATTTGGGGCTCTGGACGCCCGAGTTATCCGGGGTAACTCGGGTCCGGGGTAAGTCGGGTTCGGATTCCCGAAAAACGAACCCTAGTTGGCCCTGACCCGAGTTAACCCTGATGATTCGGGGCTCTGAAGAAATGTACTAAGAACATGTCGTGCAGACCACGAACGGTTTTTAGTCCCCCTGGCCCGGCGCACATGGGGCGAGCGGGCAGCCGCACACGAGCGGGGGCGTAAGCGCCGCCTCCTCGTCCTCCTCGTCCTCCTCGTCGTTCCTTCTCCTTCTCCTCCTCCTCCTCCTCCTCCTCCTCCTCCTCCTCCTCCTCCTCCTCCTCCTCTACCTCCTCCTTCTCCTCGACCTCGTCATCCTCCTCGTCCTCCTCCTCCTCTTCCCCCTTCGCGTCCTCCTCCTCATCCTCCTTCTCCTCCTCCTCCGCCTCCGCCTCCGCCTCCTCACTTCTCTCCCCCTTCCCCCCCCCACCATCCTCCTCCTCTCCCTTCCCCTCCCTCCTCCCATCTCTTTCCCCCCCTCCCTCCCTCAGCCCTCCCTCCTTCCTCCCCTCGGGCCTCGGGGGTCTCCAGGGGCCCCATGGAGGCCGACAAGAAAGGACCAACATCGTCTACAAACCTCGATCTGGCATTAGGAGGCGGGTATGCACGGTTTCCCCTTGGGCCGTAGGCGACCGGAGGAAGAGGAGGAGGATGAGAAGGAGGAGGAGGAGGAGGTGGAGGAGGAAGGGGAGGAGAAAGAGCAAGAGGAGGAGGAGGAGGAGGAGAAGGAGGAGATGGAGGAGGAGGAGGAGGAGGAGGAGAAGGAGGAGGATAAGGAGGAGGAGGAGGAGGAAAGTGAGGAGGAGGAGAGGGAATGCTGATGATGATGATGATGATGATGATGATGATGATGATGATGATGATGATGATGATGATGATGATGATGATGATGATGATGATGATGATGATGATGATGATGATGATGATGATGATGATGATGATGATGATGATGATGATGATGATGATGATGATGATGATGATGATGATGATGCTGATGATGATGATGATGATGATGATGATGATGATGATATTGAGGAGGAGGAGGAGGAGGAGGAGGAGGAGGAGGAGGGAGAGGAGCAGGGAGGAGGAGGGAGAAGGGGAGGAGGAGATGGAGGAGGAGCAGGAGAGGGGAGGAGGAGGAAGAGGAGGAGGAGGAGGAGAGAAGGAGGAGGAGGAGGAGGAGGAGGAGAAAGAAGAAGGGAGGAGGGGGTGGAGGAGGAGGAGGAGGAGGAGGAGGAGGAGGAGGAGGAGGACGAGGAGGAGTAGGAGGAGGAGGACGGGTCGCCTGAGCACTTCGGAGGCACCCTACAGGCGGGTCCTGAGGGAAACGAGCCCTGAATCCCGGACCTTTCCCCACTGACGGCCCCGGGGCCCGTGGGTGGGGGCTCCGACGAGCCCAAAAACGGCGAAAAAATCTCAGGACCCGCTTCCCCTCCGGACCCGCTTCCCCCTCGGCGAGAGCCACGCCTCCTGCGCGCGAGGAGCGGCGCGTGGCGCAAACAGCGCCGCAGTCGGACGCAGCGGTCTCTCAGAGGACCTGCACTTCGTCGAGGAGCGGCGCCATCATCACCACGTCGTCGTCGTCGTGTCCAAGCACGCACTGAATGCGTTCCTCCTCCTCCTCCTCCTCCGTCCCACCATCCTCCTCCTCCTCGTTCTCACCCCCCTCCTCCTCCCCTCCTCCTCCTCCTCCTCCTCCTCCTCCTCCTCCTCCTCCCTCCTCCTCCCCTCCTACTCCTCCTCCTCCTCCCCTCCTTCTCCTCCTCCTCCTCCTCCATCTCCTCCTCCCCCCTCCTCCCTCCTCACTACCTCCTCCCTGCTCCTCCTGCTCCCTCCTCCTCCTCCTCCTCCTCCTCCTCCTCCTCCTCCTCCTCCTCCTCCTCCTCACACTCCCCCTCCTCCTCCTCCTCCTCCCTCCTCCTCCTCCTCCTCCTCCTCCTCTCTCCTCCCCCTCCTCCTCCTCCTCCTCGCTTTTCCTCCTCCTCCTGCTCGTTCTCCTCCTCCTCCTCCTCCTCGTCCTCTGGAGGCGGGCGAAAGGGGGGGATAGCAAAGGTGGGGCTTGCTAATCAGCTTGCGTAGCTGATTTTCCCAGCGCCTCCCTGCGCAGGGAGGCGCCCATGTATCGAGGAATTGGCCTGGCGGCGGGGCCGAAACCAGCTGCATGCAGCAGATTTCGTAACCTCCCCTTTCCCTATCCCCCCCTTTCGTTCGGCCCGATCCTCCTCCTCCGCTTCCTCCTCTCCCTCTTCCTCTCCCTCCTCCTTCTCCTCCTCCTCCTCCTCCTCCTCGCCAGGCCCTGGCACTGTCACGCGCGTGCCCGCTCCACGTAGTGCCCTGGCCCCGTAAATGACACCGCAGCTGGCTCGGGAGGGAGCGCGGTCGAGGATGCAGCGCCCAGGGGCGCCCGAGCCGACGCCGACACGTGCAGCCCTGGGCTCAGGGCCAAGGGACGGGAGGAGCCAGGCGGCGAGGATGCGAGCATGCTCCTGGAAGCACGCTCGTCCTGACGATCCGGCCTGGCAGCGCCAGGCAGCGCAGTCGCGCGTGGGCACCAGGTCCCTCTCGAAGGCTACGTTTTTGTTGACCGTGGGCACCTTGCTACCCATCGGCCCTGGGAGGGCTGGGACAATTTTCGGCCGGTTTTCCCACGGCCTTTGGCGCATAAGCTGGACGGTCGCGTTTAGCAAGGGGGCCGGCGATCGACCACCGAAGGAAGGTACCGCTCGAATAACTATGGCGCGATTCACGACGCAAGCGGTGCCTCTCCGGCGGCGCGAACACCAACTTTGAGGGGCGATCTGCGACGCGGGGCTACCGAGCCGTGTGCAAATTGTTGGGTGGAGCCCCCCCCCCCCCCGGGTGTAGAAGATCGGCCCAAACCTGGGTGGCACGTCAGGGACGAGCACTGCTGGTGGCGACTTGAAGAACCCTAAGGGGGTGGAGCGCGAGCGAGGTAGGCGAAAGCCGGAGCGAGGGAAGGTGAGACAGCATATCTCCCTCCTCAGACTCACGACGTCGTGACTCTACCACGGCGAGGGCCCCCGGAGCTCGCGACCCAGTCCCCTATGAACCCTCCTTCGCCGTGGACTGCTGTCCGATAGTGCTGGCAACTCCGATCTGCTGCTGCGCGGCACGTGCAGTCGGACCTGGGCGGAGGAACCTCCCAAGAACATGAAGCCCCTCCGCCGGCCCAAACAGAGAGAACATACGAGGGGACCCGCCGCAGGGTGCACAGGCACAAGACCATCCAGCAAGCACGAAGAACATTAGGGCACCCTCCCCGAACCGACATCGACCTTGTGCCTCGGCCCGACCGTACCCAAAGCCCTCCCCCCGAGAGGCGTCCGCAGGACCACCAACACCTCGGCTCGACAGTACCGCGCCGCGCAGGGCGTCGAGGAGAAGGAGGAGGAAGGAGCAGGAGAACGAGGAGAAGGAGGAGCATGAGGACGGGGAGGGGCAGGCGGAGAAGGAGAAGCAGGAGGAGACGAGAGCCTGGCGCTCCAGATTTCGCCCCTCCCCCCCTGGCCCCCCCCCCCCCCCTCTGCCTGGCCCGCGCCCCCCGCAGCCTCTCGGGGCAGCCTCTCGGGGCCCGTACCTCGCCCGCGGCAGTGCTGTGGCGCACTCGGCCTACAGTGCCAGCACGCCGTGCTCGAGATCGGACTCCGCCCCGAAGCCGGGCTGGCTCCCCCCAGAAGGAGGAGGAGGAGGAGGAGGAGGAGGAGGAGGAGGA